ATTTGCTAGAGGATCAAGCAATGAAGTGGAATTCTTAACTAGTTGTATTAAAAGATGATAGTAACAAAAAAGAAAACACGGATTTTATTTTGCAGTAGCTAACTAATTAATAACATCTGTCAGAGACAGGCCTGAAACAAAACAGTTGTGATATCTTTAGACTTATGGAAGGCTTTGGATCTAGATCAAAACTGGATGGTTTGGCCAAACTAAAATCCTTTGTCGTAGTTCCCTTGGACACAGTTTTTGGTTTATTGAATGTAGCAGTAGTTTTTAGCCAGTGTTAACTCATTCTTGTTTATTTCAATGATATTAATAAACAGTTACAATTTCATTACAATAACAATAAGAAGTTAGAGGGAAGTGTAAGGTACAATAACAAAAATTAAAAAAAATTTAAAAAATATAAATATCACAGAATGACTGAATAATAACACAGAACAGATCTGACTCTGGCTTAGTGGCTTTTCCTCTAAACAAGGCACCAAACTTACTAATTTTAGGGGAGGTGGGTGTTGAGTGTTGCTTTCTATTAAATGAGGTCCTTTTCTTAAGCAAGAAATAGAAATTTTATTCAGGTTTCAGAAGTAATGGAAAATAGCCAAGCCAGACCAGATCAATTTATTATGGTACCCTGCTCCTTATGGGTATCAGTTGTCTTTCATAAATGCACTTCATCTTTGCTTACCCTGGCCAATTGTACATACAGAATTTCTTTCTGATCTGCAAACTACAGCTTGATTGAAATACTCCTATTACCTTAGCCTGTCATTGTTATTGGCAGTCGTAACATTATCTACCTTTTAAAATTCATGCCAGTGCATTACACAGGTCAAATTTTTGTGGTGCTTGGTGGGAGGGAGTCTTCAGGCACAGTGATCATCACTCTTTTCCTCTTGTGGGCACTCTCTGCCTCACAATTCATCTTGTTTCCCAGGTCCCAATACCGTATCTTTTACTGCCATAAGTATACCTCTTCATCTCTCAGAGGAAGAAAAATTACTTTTTTTGAATGAGTGATCTGCATGTGTCCTGCTACTTTAAATTTAAATCCCTTAGCATTATAGCAAATATGTTTTCTAACCTTGACTTTAAGTTTTAGCAATTACTGAATGTGCTGCACTCACATTTACTTGAATTAATCAATAAAAAAGTATACCTAACTTTTTTCTTCATGCTCATCTTCAACCAATACTTAAACATTTAGCAAAGACAAAAATTTATACCCCAAAACTTTTATATATAAAAATACAAATTTTACCATTTACCTAGTTACTCAGCAGTCAAGCAAACCCCTTTGTCTTGAGAAAGAGCACTGGAATAGAGAAAGATTTTGAGGCTAAAAGAGGAATATTGTGCAGGGAAGAACATTCAGGAGGGAATTTCAATGCTAATTACAGCACACCCACTCATATTAACTTAGCCACCTGCTGAGTGGAAAAGATTTCCAATTTAAACCTTTAAACCCCAGAGGGCTGGTGATTTCTTTGAGAAGGAAAGCTAAGGCATGTCATAACAAGACTGAAACAAATCTGAGGAGAGGATTTTCTGCACAACTCATCCAGCACTGCCTACATGAATTGTAGTCATGCTGTTGACTAGAGCAAAGATGTAACCTGAAAGAGAATTTGTGCAGGCCAGCAAGTTGAGCAGATTAGCTAAACTAGGCTATTAAAAACACTAATGATGAAGTCCTGAGACAAAAGGAAATATGTATTTCAGCATGAGATTCTTAACAGCAAATCGTTACCCCAGAACATTTAACAGCCCCATAATTAGGACGCAATTTTAGAACATCTGACAGCTGGACAGAAGCCCTAGCTTCTAAGCAAAACAAACAGTAAATTTAAAGATGCATCACACCTCCCAGGAGAGTGCCCTAAATAAATAAAAGTGCATAAACCTTCTCTTAAATTTTTGTGAGGCCTGGTCTGGGAGGCAGCCTGAGAATGCTTACACATAGGCATGAGCATACCTAGTTTGAGACTGGAATGCATCCTCTGGGGTAAACTTGTTCCCAGGAGCTTTGGTGCGTACAGAGTCAGTCAATAACTGAGCAAAGTTCTCAAAATAATTCAGTGATGAGTTATTCCTTAGTTACCTGAAGTGGTAGCTGGGCATCTAAGTTGCCTCTGTGGTTTCAGCCTGTAATGCATTATGGCATGAGTCCCTAACCATCAGACAAAGCCACGCGCTTCATTTCCTTGTGAATGCTTTTAAATCATGATCTTTTCCAAATCTTTCCATGGAAATATACTGAAGTTGCCATTTCTCATGGAGCTGAGGAAGGTGAGAGGCTGCCAGTTTACATGTTTCATTTTAAAGGACAGAATAGAACAGAATCACAGGAGATTCTCAGAAAGTGTACAATACCCACAAACACATTCTTTTTTAAAGAGAAAACAAAAAGGTTTTATAGAAAACTAGTGGATGAAGAGGGGAACTTCACATGCAGCGCTGTTGGCTTTTACTGAGTCTTACAGAGTTTTGTTTGGGAAGAGTAATAAAAAACTGTCTTTTCTCTGGGAACAGTTTCATATGGATTGCAAACCCACTGATCTACAGTAAAGCCATGCTGCTGGTTTTCTCCCCCATAGCCAGTTTAGCATCAGCAGGCTTTATTTCTTCTTTCTCCTCAACCAACATTTTTATTAATGGACTGCAAGAGTGCTAAAAATAATGAAATTTTGTCTTTCTTTGGAGGAAGAGAGTAACAAGCTAAAGATAAATAATGTGAACAGAAATGTCCAGTAGATGGGAGGAAATGTAGTAAGTGAGAGATGTTCCTAAGTGAGAAAGCGTGGGCAACTAGGACTACCGCCAAAATAAATTTTTGCAAGTCATTAGTGAATATGCTAATGTGAGGCACCAATCCAACACCATCTAGTCACAGAGTACTCTGTTAAGTTCTGGGCAGGGTATTAATAAAAGATGACTTATGAGTTGCATTCAGAGACAAGGAGCAAAAGCGGCCAGAGGACAGAAGGAGCAGTGCATAAAGAAAAAAACCTCGGAAGACTTGCCCATATGGTGCTTACCGCACTAACGTACTGTTCAACCATCTCCCACATCAGCTGTGTAGGGAGGTTTGGGCAAGCATCTATAAGCAGAACAGGAAACAGCCTGTGTGACACCTTCTGGTGTATGAGAGACAAAGAAGGTATGGGCAGGGCTATCTCTGATGTCCCCTGTACATTGTCCCCAACCAAGAACACTTCTCGCACAGCGTTGTATTTCTGACGTTAGCCAAATCCAGACATTTCAGAAGAAAGCAAAGGAAATCTTGTGGCTTGAAGACTGTCAAGAGAGCAGCAAGAGAGGGGCTGCTCCACAAAAGACGACAATCCAGGAGCCAAGGGTGGCAACTGTATTGGTAGGGATAGTGTCCTCTCCAGCAGGAGTCAGTAGAACAGTTGCCAAAGAAGGCAAGCAGGCAGGCTCCAGTGACAGTCACCATGTCCTCCACACAGTTCAGTGCAGAAGTGATGAATTAGGTTTGAGGTCAGTCCGGGAAGTCCAGTCAACAAATGACTACAGAATGGCAGAGATGGGTACAGGCATGCCTGTGACATATCTCAGCCAAGGCCCCTGGGCCCATCGATGGAGGCCCCAGGGGAGGGTGGTCAGGGCAGCTAAGACCTGTTGGTACCCTCAGAGCTCTTACAGAAAACTACAGAAAAATTTTTGAAGGAAAGCCCTTCTCAGCTGTAGTGGTACTTAGTGATGAACTTAGCAATGGTTAGTTATGGCAGTTACTTTTTCATTTTAAAGTTAGGTGTTTACAGTGAAGACACTTCTGACCTAGTCACCCCAGGTCTTTTTCTGTAGTCGCTAAATGAATATGAACTTAAAGGAGCCAAATAGCTCATGATAATGGTTAAGTGGGTCAGAAGCATTACACCCTACAAGTGCCTGTTTGTCTCCATTGATTGTAAGGAGCTGGTGGTATCTATCTCAGATGAAGATGTCTGAAGCTGAATTAATTGAATCCCATGCGTGAGACTCGGCTGGGAGTTTTTATAACACCCAGATATGTTCTGGCATATTGATTGTGATTTTTGTAACGCTGAGTCCTAATAAAACCATTATCCTAGGTCAGTTGTGTGAGTGCAGATGTCTGGCAGGTTGGAACTCAGGAGTCTTATGTATGTGCTGAGGGATTCTTTAATGAAATGGTGGTTCATGGAAACATAGGATCATATAATGACGGTGATCATAATAAACGATATACGATCATTTTTATGATAATATAATGATCATAAAAATATGCACCGAGAAATATGGGTGACTGCAATTATAACCATTGCACAATCAAATATGCATTTATTTTAGATAATGTTTTAATGACTATAATAATTTTAATCATTCAGCTTTTTGTGAGGGGAATAAATAATAATAATAATTGACAGATTTCTTTTTGCTAGGTTCTCAAAAGCTATAACAATTGTTTGTTTTTAACAGCCACAGCCTGTATGAAATGTAATTACATTTATCTTTAATTTGCATTGAGGAAGAAATGCACTTAGCTTGGCTTCTGCCTTTGCAGGGAGTAGCATTGCTGTAACAATTGTTTTAAATTGCTTACATTTCTGGAAAAGGACTTTTTTTGTCAATTATACTTTTTAAAAGGATGGAAAAAGGCCCTCTGGAACTGTGCCAAATACTCGTTTCTAAAGAATGTTGATCTGGATTTTCCAAATTAAACAAACAGAACATTCAAGGAGTACCTGTTTTACAGTTGTCTGTGTTTCCGCAGCCGCTCGCTCACTCCCCCCCCTCCCTCTGTGGGATGGGGGAGAGAATAGGAGAAAAGAAAAAAAAGTAAGACCCGTGGGTTGAGATAGAGACAGTTTAATAAGAGAGAAGAATAACAATAGTAATAATAATAATAATAATAATAATAATAAGAGAATATACAGAATATATATATAAAACAAGTGATGCACAATGCAATTGCTCACCACCCACTGACCGGTGCCCAGCCCGTCCCGAGCCGCGATCACTCCCCCCGAGCCGCGATCACACAGCTCGAGCTGCGACCACACTGCCCGCGACCGACCGAACGGGACGACCGACCAAAAACTAACTAACCCCCCCCCAAGCATGACGTTATATGGTATGGAATAGCCCTTTGGTCAGTTTGGGTTAGCTGTGCTAGCTGTGCTCCCTCCCAGCTTGTTATGCACCTGGGCGAGCAGGAGAAGCTCAAAAAGTCCTTGAGTAGTCTGAGCACTACTTGGCAACAGCTGAAAACATCAGTGTGTTATCAACATTCTTCTGGTACTAAATCCAAAACACAGCACTATGCTAGCTACTGTGAAGAAAATTAACTCTATCCCAGCCGAAACCAGGACAAACATTCAAGGAGTACCTGTTTTACAGTTGTCTGTGTTTCTTAATAAAAACGTTGAAAGCAGGCAGTTGGGTGCTTTTGAGCAGCTGGTTGAGAAATACAGGTTTTAAATGAATCTTAATTGTAATGATTTTGCAGCTGAGATTGGTTGCTGAAGTGATGCATTCCAGCTTCATGCCATGTGGCCCCAGCTATCGGCTGCCTTCCATACCATACCGATAGGCAATCTTCACATCTTGCCTCCTTCCGTGCTTTAGACCGATGCATAGCAGAGATGCAATGATACCTCTGTCAGTAGAACAGAGAGATCTGAAACGGGCATGAATTTGGTAATAATGGAACACATGCAGGAGGAAGGTCTTTTTAATGCTTATGACTTCAGAAGACAGGGATCTGAGGATGAGTGAACTTTAAAACAAAGCAAAACCATAATGTAATTTCTCAACAGAGGGCATTGCCCTTGCTTCAGTCAGGAAATACGTTGCAGTTCAATGCAAAGTGAAATACCAGCTAGGTACTAGTAGGTGTTTCATGTTGCAGTTAACTGCAGAGTAAAATACCAGCTAGGTTCTGGTTGATATTTCACTTTGCAGTGAATGTGTTTCCATTAACTACAGGTAGATTAGGTGTAAGGATCAAAGTGACCAAAATTCTTCATCTGAAGACTGAAGTGACTGACTAGATGGCGTGACACTGTATACTCTTTTTCTCTTGGCTACGTCTTTATACTTCAGATCCCTTGAAATAAAAAAAGATGGAATAGAACTGCTGTGATGGCCTTAGATCTGTTAGCTAGCTCCTTTTTGTTGGAGTCCACTGTTGTGGGAATGGTTACAAACAAGGAGGTGAAGTGGGTGTCAAGTTCCTGCCCAAGATAATTACTGATTAATTTGTACACAGAGGAAGCTTGCTGAAGGAAGTGTAGGCATATTTTTTTCAGTTGAGGGCTCAATGTGAAAAAGAATTTCATAAAGGAAAAGCTGGGCTGTTTGATTTCCCACCACCGCCACTTTCATAGCCAGCACATTTAAGATTATACAATATTAGCAACTGTGAGCACAAAATATCCATTTGTTTTTTGTGTTTAATATCTGTGTAGTAACTCAATGCAATTTGGAAGGAAGTACACATTTATTCCTAAGAGAGGTGATGACTTGTTTGTGGTTAATGCCACCTGGGGTTTTTCTTCAGATGACTTACCACTTGAACACAGTTCGTATCACGGTAAACCTTGCAAACTGGGTATGAGCACTAGTTTGAAGCTACAGCACCTGGGTGCAGATATGCCAGGATTCATGAGTCCCAGTTTACTTCCAAGTCCACCAGCAGCTTAGCCCTTGAAGAAGTTCAGGTTTCCTTGGAGCCCAAGTTCTTCTTGCTGATATGATGCCACGGCTTCTGGGGGTGCTTGGAGATGACATTCAAGCAGCTGAAACTGCGAGACTGACAGTTACCTGGGTCTGAAGCCCAAGGGCTGACCCTGACCTGGGCATTTCCCCTACCTTTCTTGCCACTGTGGCCTGCCTCCAGGAAACAAAACTGACTTACAGCCAGCAGGGCAGCCCTAAAGTAGGGGAGACCATGAGGTGCTACCACAAAACAGTCAAGAATGCGGTGACAAGAGTCCTACTCTGGGATGTGGAATCAAACCTTGTACTGAATTGGGCAATGTGGGAACAGGAACAAAATTGTCATCGGCCACATAAGTGTTTTAGCCTCTGCGCTAGTGGCTAGCCAAGTGACCCTCAGCTTCTGCAAACTGGAAACAGGCCTGAGGCGTTAGGGTGGTAAGTCAATGAAATGACAGAAGCGGCCAGCGTTATGTGAGTGCTTCTATGGGCAAATACCTCTAAAACCTACGTCATTGAGTGGGGGAGGACCAATGTTGAGAGTGCTGGGTGGAGGTCAGTGCCTAACTGTCTTCAGGAGATGAAGCTGGGCAGTTCTGCACTCATCTTGTTGGTTGCTAGCATTTCTACTTAAGCATCTATCTCCCGTACTGATTGTATATGGAGCTCTGGCATATGTTTTGGGCTGTGATTGCCACTGGGCAGCCCATTAAAAAAAAAATTTCTCTGAAGACTTTGGGCTTAAACCAGGGCTATCATGAGATTACACAGCTCTGCAATCACAGTTTTAGCCTCTGTTGTGTGGACAATTTTTGCTATTTTGCTGTGATGTGAAAATGCAAAACTGTTTTAATAATACTGAATTTTTATTCCATGTTTCCATGGGTACTTTCAGAAAGAAGTAAGTACGATGTTGGTGATGTTGTGTTTGTCTGTGTGCATCTGGCATGCTTGATCATGCTGTTAACAACACTTTCCTCACTTGAACTGTGTAATTGTTTGCCAGCTGGTGAAATGATCGAATTGAGCATTTCTCGCTAGCCTGGTATGACACACTCTTTGTAAGAACCGCATCAACAACATGTGTGTCGTGCGAAGACAGGACAGAATGCTATAGGCAAAGTCTTAATGTTAGAACAGTTGGAATATCTACTCTGTTTTGTACAGAATTTGGTACAGTGATTGCTGTGACTGTGGGAGGCTTTCCTAACAGTCAGGGCTAGAAATTAAATGAGATGGCTGTTAGTGCCACTCCTCCTGTCCCACTCTACTAAAATGGCTATGTTTTTACCTAATCTTTGTTGGCTTTTTTTTTTTTTTTTTTTTCAAAGAAGAGAGGGTGAAATTCAGTGCTCAGTAACAAGCACCAGTATAACTGAGTGCAGTTTGTTCGCTGTCCCACACTGCAGTCTAAATCAAATATCTCCAGCTGCGGGGTTACATAGTTCCCCTTGGAACACTACACAGCAGGCACTCACTGTGGATCAACTGATAAGGCTGTGTCTAGGTGGGTCATGGGCTGATTATGTGCTTGATGTCTCAGTGCGAGATGGTCCCCAGAGGTGGGGAGCGTGACGTGACTGAGGTCCTGTTGGCTGGAGGATGAAGATGTATGTGGTGAGAATGTGAAGGTGTACGTGGCAAGAGTGAGATGTGACAGGATGGTATGCAGTGGCTGCAGTAGAGTTGGTACCCAAGGCTGCCACCAGTGTACTCAGACAAACGAGGCCTGAGATGCCCACCTGTACTGTGTTAACCATAACCTGCTCTCTGAAGCATCACAGAACTGACCAGAGTTATTGCTGCTCAAATGTACTTGGTGGTTCCCTGGGCTCCCTTTCCTGGCTTCTGATCTTGGGAAATTCAGCTATCTGGGAAACAGACTGTAGAAGTGAAGCGTAGTAGGGGGAGGTTGAGGCTGGAGGCTCTTCTGAAGAGGTGCAGTTTGTTGCACTTAGAGTTAAGGTGAACGTGGAGATCTGATAGACATCACAGCTGACTGAAACTGTGGTTTGTGGGCACTTCTTTCTCAGTCATTGTGGTGATTCCTGTCCTTCACTGTTTATTTGTTTCAGCCACTTACAAAATGATCACTTGCATGGCAGTTTGTTCTGTGAAAACCAGTCTGCTTCTCTCAGGAAACAGGAGAAGGGGATAAAACCTCAGGAAAAAGTTTCAGGATATTGCTTGGTGCAGTGAAAATTATTTATGTTCTGAGTGGAAGAGCAAGAATTGTAACTTAAGTATACATTGAAGCATTTGGAGTAAATAGAGTTAAAGTTGTCTTAACTTTTTCTTTGGTCAAAACAATCATTTTCTTCATCATAAAGGAGAAATTCCTTTTAGTCTTGCTCTGAATACCTGTTACTCTCCACAATGCTAATCCTGCTGGCAGGCATGCAGCACCAGCAAACTGTGGAATGAATGTAAGGGAGCCAAACAAAAAGAAATTGAACGTACTGTTTATCAGGTAGAATATTTTTTTCTCATCAGATCTTAGACTCCAAACTTAAGCCCGTTCCTCTAGAGGAAGGCATTCTAAAATATCAAAACTGAGCATGAGCTTAAAGTAGTTTTCTGGAAGTGGGTTGCATTTGAGGAAAGTGTTGGTCATTTGCATCATCTGGGTTGGAGGGTTTGAAATCACGTATTTGGTTTAAAACCTTCTGACTGTGTATTGCTTTTAACAGTGACAGCTACAGTGACCTCAGTGATGACAGCTCTCCAGAAAAAGAGTTTCCTAATTCAGAAACAAGCTGAAATGATTGTATGAGATCACAGAAATGGATGATGCTATTGAGGTAAACTGAATTATTTTGAGACTGCTTTATGACATTTATTTCTTCCAGACTTAAAACAGAAGACAAAGTTATCTTGATTGTCACTTTTGTTTCAAATCCCATCTGAGAGCTTGTTTTCTTTCTTGCCTGCAGCACTTAATTGTTTTCCTCTTCTGCCGCTTAACTCTGCAGCTGTGATATTAAAGTCTGCTAAGTGTTCTGGGTACAGCTGATATGTAGGATGCTGTACAAAATCAAGCGGTGTTAGTGTTTGAAGGTACAATGAAAATACATTTAAAAATTGTTTTCTTTTTTTTATTACTTCAGTTTGCAAAGTTGGATCACTTCAAGTACGCTATGTTGATGTGACTTTTTGTTTCGCATTAATATTCACCTGTAATTGCATTTGATGCATTGATTCAGTGAAGACATCCCAAGATATAAATACTTGGATTTAATTTGCAGAGTGAAAGATACAAATGAGTTTTAAAAAATTGTAGCTTTGTTTGCCATGGGCTTTGCCAAAGTGATGTTGGATTGGTTGTTTTTTTCACCTGTAAGCATAGTAGCCATAGATTTCCTTTCAGTTTGGAGGTTAGATTTCCTGTGAGACACGTGATCTCTGCTGGATCTGGGTTTGAATCTTAGTCTTTTTTTAATTTCCTGTGTACATTCATGCTTTTCAGTATTTCTGAGCACTTCTGTAAGCAGGACGCAACTTTCCCCCTCTGATTTTATTCCTCTCACAGGGTGTAGTCACAAAGCAGCTCTGCCAAACAGACGATTAAGGCTGCATATGAATGATGCATTTCTGCCTGATGGTCTCCTGATTAAAATACTGGCATGAGATGCTAGAATTTGGAGTTTAGTCCTTAGGCGCAGCATGGGTTTCTGCTGTGATTTTTAATTTATTTCTTTTTCCCTCTCATGTACCACATGTTAAAGATAATAATATATCCCCAAATCATGAGAGCAGAGAACAAAATGTTAAATTATTTCATGACCTGGTGCATGCAGATACAGTACTGATGCATGTCCTAGGGTGACCAAAAAATAAGTAGACAAAATGTTGCTTTTCTCTCTTGCCCAGATCCTTCCCACCTCCAGACATGGCTATGGCTCTGTTTCTTGAGACCAAAACGTAGTACAGGCCTGACCCTTTAGCTCTGACCTTGCTTATTGTTGCAGGTGTGACTTTTTCAGTGCTTGGATGAATGTGCTTTTGTGATGTGTTTAAGCAGTTCTCAGTAGTCAAGCTCATTTTGTTTGAACATGGCACTGGTGGATACCAGTTGTATTCAACAGAATTACTCTAGAAAGGATTAAATAACTAATGCCAGATATAAAAGAAGGACAGAAGCATTGGCTCCTTTATTTTTACCTCAGGGTTAATTCTACCCAGTAATCAGAGCTGGATACACATGTAGACTATATTTAGCTTTGTGGTTTTGCTTTATGCTGTTTGACCTAGACAAAATGCATCTACTTGTAGTATTTACCTTAGGACTACTTCGAAGTCAGTCAGTGGATTTGAGAGAACCTGACATAAGCATGAAATAAACTGAGTTACAGAATAAATGTTTTTAGTCATTATTTTTTTTCCATTTATTCTTTCTTCCCCTCCCTCTTTTTATGTTACAGAAAGTTGGGAACAGGACAATATTGAATAGAAGAAAGTAGAAGAGTAAGCTGCTTATGGTCCTCATAGTGTCTCCTCCTGTACTGTTTTCAATAATTCTCTTTACAGATGACAGTTTTACTGTCCTGTAGCAAAAAATCTTCAATGTAAATGCTGTTTCTCTTTAAAAATGGCAAAATGGTTGTGCACCTTAGCTGTTAATCACTATTGATCTTGTCCTGTATTTCAGAATGATCTCAGGTGAATATGCAGTAATTCACTAGTTCACAACTATTCTCGATTTGAAGGAAGATTTGATTGTTTTCAGTTTGCCTTAGAACAGGAAGACAAAATGCATTAGTTCTTGTGAATGAGGGGGAATGCACTAAAAAATTTAAGGGAAAGTTGTCGTATCCATAAGCAGTAGAGAGCTGTTTGAGGTCTGTTTCCCTATTAAGCTTGTATATATATATTTTTTTTACTTTTTTGCTGTTCAATATGTACAAATGAGAAATCGTTGCTGTATTTCAGCTCTTTGCGATTATAATAATTGATGGATACACATGTTTTCACTTTGCTTTTACAAGTGATTTCACTTTACAAAAGTTCAAGTTTATTTGCTCTTATTTCTCCTGAAAGTCTGATAATACCAAACGTAATTCTGACCTACAAAATTACAGAAGTGATATTAGAGGGTGGTTTTGTATTTGTATTTTGTAAGAGAGAAAGTAAACACACTCATACGTTAAAATGTAATTTGAACACTTGTATGAAAGTTGTAGAAGAACCAGTCATAAACTTGGAGCATTATCTGGGCTCCAGCCGTGCAATACTCAGTGAATTTCAGTAAATGAGTATAAAGGTGAATTAAGGTTCACCCTTGTTTTCCCTCACCCAGCGACCACCCCATGGTCACAACACTCATTCCCCAATAGAATGGAATGGTATATCTTAACTCACAAATCACAAGTGATTGTCATGCGTTGATCTGCACCTGTACGTTGCATGATCACGTCTAGGTAGACTTGGATCTGTTCTTCCTTGGGAATGCGTGACAATTGCAGGCGGCCCTGCAAAGCCAGGACTGCAGCCTGAATCGCTGGGAGAGAAGGGGGAGGCGAGAGGTGCTGTACGGTGTTCAAGGCTGGATCCCATCAGCAATGTGGCATCATCAGACCTGTCACAGAAGCTGGAGCTGAGCTGTGTAACTCACAGGCTCCAAATGCCTGGGGCACTCTCTCCTGTAAAGAAAACTTCTGAATTTTGAGCTTTGTGTTTCATTTTGGTTTTGGGCAAAGTGACTTTTTAAATTCATCAAAAGGTAAATAAATATCTGTACAAAAATAAAAAGCACTGTGTCCCTTATTACAGCTTTGTAAAACAGTTAACTTTGAGAGCTCTTTGTGTTGCTTTAGAAAACCTCAGGTTACACAGCCAATTTATCTCTTCACTAAAAGAAGCTTTAATGGCAATGAAATATAAAGTGTGTTCCTATGGCAGTGTTTTTGTGAAGTGGTTTGCAAATGTGTGCCTGAGAAATAGCAGGTATCAACAGAATTGGTGTCACTGTATGTCTTCCCCCATGAGAGGCACTGGCCACCGGTTTGTGACAGGTGAGGCGTTCCTAAGATTGTCTGTAGCATGCAAATGTATTTTCAAATATATTAAATTGTGTTACTCAAAGTGCTTAGCTACTGTGTTAAAGAATCACGGTGCCAATTGTGAACTGTGGTGTCAAGAAGCGCATTTTTCATTTAATCACGTCCCAGTTGTATTGTCTGTGAGAAGCTGTGATTTATCCAGAAAATGGAGGAGACAAAAAGACGTACAACCTGGAGTGAAGCTGGAAACAGCACCTTGATCTCCCAATCCTCTTCCTGCTAACTGTGCCACACGAAGCAGCATCCTGGAGACAAATACATTACTGCCACAATGGACCCATCTCCTGTTTGAGCTGAGAGAAGCAGCAGCATGCCGTTTCCAAAATGGAAGGAGGCAAAGGAGCCTTTTCCAGCCAAATCCTGGGCTGCATTAGCAGTGTTGCCAGCAGGTTGAGGGAGGTGATCCTTCCCCACTATTCAGTCCTGGTGAGGCCACACCTGGAGTGCTGCGTCCAGTTCTGGGCTGCCCAGTACAAGAGAGACATACTGGAGGGAGTCCAGAGAAGGGCCACTAAGGTGATTAAAGGACTGGAGCATCCCTCCTGTGAGGAAAGGCTGAGAGTGTATACTGGTTTTGGCTGGGGTAGAGTTAGTTTTCTTTACCATAGCTAGTGTGGGGCTGTGTTTTGGATTTGTGCTAGAAACAGGGTTGATAACACAGGGATGGTTTCATTACTGCTGAGCAGGGCTTACGCAGAGTCAAGGCTTTTCCTGCTCCTCACCCCACCCCACCAGTGAGGAGGCTGGGGTGCACAAGAAGTTGGGAGGGGGCACAGCCAGGACAGCTGACCCCAACTGACCTAAGGGCTGTCCCATGCCTTATGATGTCATGCTCAGCATATGGAGCTGGGGGAAGAAGAAGGAAGGGGGGGACGTTCGGAGTGATGGTATTTTTCTTCCCAAGTCACCATTACGCGTGATGGAGCCCTGCTTTCCTGGAGATGGCTGAGCACCTGCCTGCCAGAGCTGGGACTGTTCAGCCTAGAGAACAGAAAGCTTGAGGGGGGAGGGAGGAAATCTCATCCATGTGTATAAATACCTGAGGTGCAAAGAGAACGGAGCCAGGCTCTTCTCAGAGGTGCCCAGTGAAAGGATCAGAGGCAACAAACTGAAACAGGAAGTTCCCTCTGAACATCAAGGAACACTTTCTCCACTCTGAGGGTGACTAAGCCCTGGCACAGGTTGCTCAGGGTGGTTGTGGAGTCTCCATCCTTGGAGATGCTCAAAAGCTGCCTGGATAATGATCCTGGGCAGCTGGCTGTAGGTGGCCCTCCTTGAGCAGCAGGGGTAGACCAGATGACCTACAGAGGTCCCTTCAAACCTCAAGCATTCTGAGAAATGAAGCATGATTGCCTTGAGCAACCTATAGGCTTCTCTCAGTGAAGAGAGAGGAGGCTGCAAAAAAGCCAAACCTTACATACGCAGTCCGAAGTCTGAAGAAATAATTCCTAAGCACGGATAGAGGGCAAAGTTTGATGGTTGACTTACCCTTCTGAAGCAAAATGTTTGTGAAGCATGCTTTTGCATTATTTCAGACATCTCATCCTGTTTGAGTAAGGACCTTCAGGGGAAATGTATTCGTTTCCATTTTTATGTTTACACCTAATGCAGCAATCTAGCAGAGAACAGTGTTTTGTTAGTACTGTGGCAGGGCAAGAAAGACTACAGAAATACACATCAAATTTTAACAAAGCGAGAGATGTTTTTCATTTGCATGTGAATAATGGAATTTGGATTCTTGTAAGGGATAACAATGAAATAAAAAAGTTTGCTTTTGTGTTTTCATTCCAAAATGGGTATGTAATGAAAGAGATCTAGAAAAAATGATACATCTACTCAGAGAGCATTGATCTGCATCTGTACATTGCGTGATCATGTCTTAATAGTCTTGGATCCATTCTTCTTCCTTGGGAAACATGAACTGTTGAATGGGTAACCTAATATACTAAACTGTCTAGGTCACTACCACTGGTTAAAACTCCTCTTTAGCATATACTTGGAGCACAGCAAGATCTGAAATCTGTATTTTCCATCCCATGTTGGCTCAATTGGCTGTTGCTTAGGCTCAAGGGCTGTATTTGTAATAGTAAACTAGGACAGGGACAGTAGTCTCCTTTGAGCCCAGCTGCAGTGGCTGAGATTGCTTCTGTACAGCTAAACTTTCATGGATGTACTGGAGTGAGTCCAGGGAAGGACCATGGCGATGAAGCATCCATCATGTGATGAGAGGCTGAGAGAGCTGGTGGTGCTTAGTCTGGAGAAGAGATGGCTCAAGGGGAATCTTAAACAATGTTTATAAATACCTGATGCGAGGGTAGTAAAGAAGACAGAGCCAGACTCTTCTCAGTGGTGCCCAGTGACAGAAGAAGATGCAATGGGCAGGAATAGAAACACAGGAAATTCTGCTTAAAGAGAGAACTTTTTTTATGGTGAAGGTGGTTGAACACTGGAACAGGTTGCCCAGAGAGGTGATGGAGTCTTCATCACTGGAGATGTTCAAAACTCACCTGGACACAGCCCTGTACAACTTGCTGTAGCTGACCCTGCTCTGAGCCAGGGGTTGAACTGGACAATCTCCAGAGGTCCCTGCCAACCTCAACTATTCTGTGATTCTATGAAACTCACTTACCTCCAAAGAAGGAGGCCCCGTTCAGGCTGCCTGCTGGGATGGGTCCCTAGTGCCTGCTAACTCTCAGGTGCCCAGGGGAGAGTATGAGATACTTGACAAAGTATTTTGCCAGAGTTGGTGATCTCGTACCTGTTCCTGGGCCTGTTTTGTGAGCCTGTATAGTTTACTAGCCTAGAGATAGCTAAACTGCTCTCTCTGGGAAAACCTGACTGAAGATCTGTTGGGTGTGGGTGTTGGGGGCTGGGAAGATCTGGTGGGTGCTCGGAAGATCTGTTGGGTGTGTTGGAGGGACACTTAACATCTATGCCTACCTCATCCAGAAAGTGGTCCTCTGCTGACACGCCACCTACGCTCAGGTTCTCCCTCACAGAAAGCTTGGTAGCTTGGTTGGGTTGGACCAGAGGCTGTGCTTGTTTGTAAACAAGGGGAGCACATCCAAGTTTGGATGTGACTGTGGGGTAGGTACTGCACTTAACTGATACCGTGGACAGAGCTGTCTCTTACTCAGTATCTCTAGTCAAGTATTGCATCTGAGCAGCATAGGTTCCTGTTTCACCGTAAGCTTTATGTGTGAAGTCCTTTAGCATCTGCTCAACATACTTTAATATGCACTACCTTGAAGCTGAGGTTTCTTTCCTAGTTTATTTAGCAACTCAGAGAGATAACCTTCCTGTGCTAATGTAACGCCTGCAGAGGTTGAATCTAATGGAGAGGCATCTATCTAAGTTTTCCTGAGACACCGAGGAGGGTTTGCTTGGCCAGCCAGACTATTCCTCATTAAGGAGTACTTGTGGTAGGGTGGGCCAGATCCAGCACTAGCTCGCTGTCTTTCTGAAGCCACTGAAGTGATGCCATACTCATGTCACACAAAGTGTGGCTTTGTTGATTACAGGGTGGTACCCCTGTCAGCCTGTCATTCATGGGACTCAGGCATAGTTCTCCTCAATTCCTCTGCAGGTGTCTTAAGCCCTAGCTTGCCAGGAAGACACTGGAGGTTTTGAGCAACAGCTTGAAAGTAGAGGCTGAGTTCTCTGCAAGAACCTGTGTAAGCAGGAGCTGCAGCCCCAAGCTAAAGGAAGTTTTCAGGAAAGAAAAGGCAGATTGGCAGTGACTGCAAGGGCAGGGGCTTGCTGCCCAGAAGGGTGTGTGGGAGATGAAGGAGGGGATCAAGAGTAAGAGCAGCAAGTGATTTATCAACCTGAGCTGACCTCCTCATGGGAGCTATGTTACGGTTACCATAGCAATAGAAATGAAAGGCTCTCCTCAAACTCTTTGTGTGTCTTGATGACAGTAGAGAGTGTAATTACAGCATATGGGAGTTCTGAGTCAGCTTGACTACAGCTGGCGCTGAAGCCAGATCAGCATGGAAGTGAACTGGGGCTGTGGAAACCTTATGTGGGACTGGCTGAAGCTCATTTCCCTCACCTTCACTGTTTGCAAGTTGACCACTGTTTGCAAGGTGACCAGAATTTGCTGAGAGAGTAAGGTGGATCAAGGAGGGGGTCAGAATAACATTGCCCTTGGGAGAGCACACGGCCTCCTCCAGCTTCTGGGGAAACACACTCACTGCGACATGACTGGGAAGCAAAAAACCAGTATAATACTTTCTGTCCCTAGGACTGAATAATGCCTTATCCTTGCACACAAGCAGGAGGAGGCTACTTCACTTGGGCATCTGCATGAGATCTGCTATATATCTCTCTGCCTCAGCATTTTATCCTGCACAGTGCTTAGTTTTTTCCCTGCTAGCACAGTGAGTTGGTAGCTGTTAGCTCTGTGAAAACTTCCAAACTCTTCCTCTTACCCCGTCACCCTGTCCCCACTGTTGACATGGTCAGTGCTTTGTTCAAGGGCTTCACTCATTTTCCCGATTAGCAGCCTTTATGTTTTTGATGGCAATGAACTTCAGTGTCTCAGATATTTCTCCCTGTATCAGGTTCTCAGTACTGTCTAGATTTTTCAGGTATTCAACTGTATCTGAATTGTTAACCACCATG